AGATCCCACACCTACAAAACCCTGAGTCTCCAACTCTTATAGTATGTCCACCTAACTGAAGCAGCTGCCTCTGGGGGAACTACCTGTCCCTGGCCTGTTCTGCTGCTTCATGGATGTCAGGGAGGAGAAAGCCTCTGGTGGCTGGGGGAGCAAGACCTGCTCCTTGGAGCCGCACCACAATCCAGGTCATCCCCACCCATGTTGCAGGTTGGAGGCAAGGTGCCCTGGGGAGTTGGGAAGGGAAAGGAGGTCCTGGATCCTAGCGGGGGGCAGTCAGGAGCCAGTCAGACCTTGAAATTCCAGGATGGCACAGGCTGTGGCCCGCAGCTGTGAAGTCACCAAAGAGCTTCTGAGGTCACTGTGCCTGGCACAGCCTCCTCTGCAGCCAGCTCCTAGGCCAGAAACAAGATCTCTTAGATTTTTGAAGGGTTAAAAAAAAAATTGCACCTTTCTGTAGGGCCTTCCTACTTCAGCCACATTTGCTCAAGAGCCATCTCTGAAGGAAGCACAGATATCCCTGCTTTATAGCACCCCTCCCTTACCTGGGGTTAACCACTGAAACAGCCAACTCTGGCCTCAGGTCACCCAGCCTAGAACCTACAGTTTAGGCCCCAGGCAGCACTCTAAGCTCCTAGCTAATACATTAGTTCTGGAAGGGTCTCAGAGAAGGGCTGGATTCTGTATAATCTCAAGGCCCCAAGATTGTGGGATGCAGTCAGAGTTGATTCCTGTGAAGACATGCAGCATGTGGGTTCAGCACTTGAGCTTTGCTATCATAGAAACTTCAGTCCAAATCCTTGCTGCTCTACTCACTAGCTGTATCTTCAAGTGTCAGGCTTGCCGTTTCTGAGCCTGTTAGCTCATCTCTCAAGAAGGAATGGCACTGTGGTAGGTAGTCCTTTGCCTGGTGTGTGTCCCTAAACGGATCACAGATCCTCTACTGTTTTCTTGTCTCTTATTAGATTGTGGTCTCTGTCCTTCCACCCCTCAGAAATGGGCAGCTGTGGCAGGGGGTGGGGCAGGACAGTTAGAATGCTCATGTATGGATCTTTGGTTGTTCCCCTGTGAGTGTAAACTATTGGTCTATTTCTCCCTTGTATGCTACAAGGAGATGCTGAGGCAAACATGCGTGGCCTTTGGCCTGTGTGAAACCTAATTAGAAAGTAAAGAAGATCTCGGGCCATGCTTCTCCCCCAGTTGCCAGGGAAGGACTGTTCATGGTAATGCAGAAATGCGGTCTCAGCTCCATGTTCTTAGTGCTGCTGCAGGAGTGATTTGACTTTTCTTTGCCCCAGAGCCTACTGCTTCCGTATCTCACATTTCGCTCCCACCAATCTGCTTTCCTTAGAGTCCCATCTGTCTCCCCACTTACTTACCCCAGGACTGTCATTTATCCTCAGACCGCCCTCTGCTCCCACAAGCCCTGTGGTACAAGTCATTGAGGCTTTGGGATTTGGCTGCCTCTGACAGATTTCCAGGGAGGGACTGTGTGGGACTGGTTTCTTGGGGGTAGATTTGGAGCAAGATTAGTAGCCACGGCTGGTCTTACTATTTAGGTGGATGGGAATGTGAGGGCTCTTCTCATATAGGTCTGTGACCCCTAGAGAGGGCCTTCCAGGGACTCATCAGGGGAATGCCATGTGAGTACCTGACCTTTGAATCCAGAGGTTGGGTATAGCCTCTTCTATTAAAGGCCCTTTGGGATGTCACACAGCCTCATGTGGTGTCATACTTTGATAAGCCTGAGTTGCATGCACTTGTTTCCCTCCTTGACTTGTAATTCCAGGATAAGGAGAGAAGAGGGGCCTTTATCTGTGATCAGAGCCTACAGAGGCCAAGAGAGGAAAGGGGGATAGAACCAGAACACAGATCTTTCTGGAAAAGCCAATACCCTTTCAGCTGTTTACCTGGGAACCACAGTGACTGAATGTGGAACTAAAGCCCTAGAGGTTTACAGTAGGGAACCCTGGCCTCAACCCAGCAGCAGTGGGGCAAGAGCTTCCTCCTAAGATGTGACATGTCTAAGCCTCAAGGCTGAGGCCTTTCTTTTTTCTTTTTTTTTTTTTTTTTTTTTTTTTTTTTAACATAGTCTCTCTCTGTCGCCCAGGCTGGAGTGCAGTGGCGCAATCTGGCTCACTCCAACCTCTGCCTCCCGGGTTCAAGTGATTCTCCTGCCTTCAGCCTCCCAAGTAGCTGGGATTACAGGCACATGCCACCATGCCTGGCTAATTTTGGTGTTTTTAGTAGCAACGGGGTTTTGCCACGTTGGCCAGGCTGGTCTTGAACTCCTGAGCTCAAGTGATCCACCCACCTCGGCCTGCCAAAGTACTGGGATTATAGGCGTGAGCCACCATGCCCAGCCAAGGCTGAGGCCTGCTGCCATATTTTGGGGGTCTCCTTACTATTAGGTATAAAACTTCATGCCTCAGCTTGTTCTTTGTGAGGAGTGGAAGCAGAGAACTGCTGGGGCCGATTCCCTCCTGTTTAGCTTCCTTCCTTCCCAGGGATTGCAGAAATAGTTATTTTCCCAAGAGATCAGGTCAGGCCAGGCACGGTGGCCCATGCCTATAATCCCAGCACTGTGGGAGGCCTAGGCAGGCAGATCAGTTGAGTCCAGGAGTTTGAGACCAGCCTAGGCAACATGGCAAAACCCATCATGGTGGAACGTGCCTGTAGTCCCAGCTACTTGAGGGGCTGAGGTGGTAGGATGGCTTGAGCCCGAGAGGTTGAGGCTACAGTAAGACCCAACCACTGCACTCCAACCTGGGCAATAGAGTGAGCCCTTGTCTCAAACAAATTTTTTTTTTACTTAAAAAAGAAAGGTTAGTGCCCCAGTAAAAGTTCCTGCTCTGGGTGGGAACAGTAGCCTGAGGGCTTAGAGGAATGGTTTAAGGGAAAACAGGGCCAGATATTTGGGGCCTGAACCACAAGGATAGTGTGACCACAGGACAGACACTGGCCTTGTGCAGTCAGAAGCACAAGGACAAGTGGTGTGGAGGGAAATGAGGATGAGGATGCTGGGTCCTGTCCCAGGGTTATGTCTTTGTTTTCTCTTTTCCTCCCCATAGGCTTGCAGCCCTGAGTGATCGAGAGACTCGGCTGCAGGAGGTGCGCTCAGCCTTCTTGGCTGCTTACAGCAGCACAGTGGGGCTTCGGGCAGTAGCCCCCAGTCCCTCCGGTGCCATCGGGGGCCTGCTGGAGCAGTTTGCCCGTGGTGTTGGACTCCGGGGCATCAGCAGCAACGCCTTGTGAAGAAGCCAGCCCATGACAGTTTCCTGCTCCTCTCTCAGCTGAGCCCTTAGCAGAATCAAAGCCATGCCTGGCCAAAGGGGTACTTCCAGGTCAGGGGGAAATGTCATTCCCCCTTCTCCATCATGTACATGGCAGCCCCAAAGCTGAGCAAGGCCAAAGAAAGGGTTTTCCAACCCCCAGCCTCTTGACTAGTGACCACCACCCCTTCTTGTCACTGTCTCCCACCCACCCCATCTTTGCTGGGATTCCTATCAACTCTCAGAACTGTGTGGGGTTTCCTGGGGGCCTTGTGGAAGCCATGACTTCACAAAGACCCTGCTTCTCAATTCTTGTTTCCTGGGGAGGAGGGATCACATGCACTGAGAATGAGGCAGTTTGACACAGATCACAAAATAAAATTGAAGTCTTTTTGAACAGCCCCTCTCTTGTGTCCTCATTTGGTTGCTGTCTTTATGGAGCTATTAGGAAGTTCTCATTGTCCTTCCTTGTGCTGGACAAGGAGTGTTTAAGTGGAGGGCAGGTAAAACAGGAAGAGAACTGGGGACAGTTGTACCTCCCCACTCATGAGCCATGGTCATCCCTAGAGTGGGGACAGTACTCAAGACTGTTGGGAGTAGTGAGCCTCGAGCCTAAGCAGGCCATAGTCACCTAGGGGGCTGGTTTAGCTGTGCACATTCTCTGGGCTGCCTAAGCTTTAGGCTTAGGATTGCTAAGGAAGTTGCCTGGGACTTAGGAGATGGAGGATCTCTATCTTTTTCCTTTTCTTTTTTTTTTTTTTAAGCAGTCTCACTGTCACCCAAGCTGGAGTACAATGGTACAATCTTGGCTCACTGCAGCCTCCACCTCCTGGGTTCAAGCGATTCTCCTGCCTCGGCCTCCCAAGTAGCTGGGACTACAGGCATTTGCCACCATGCCCAGCTAATTTTTGTATTTTTAGTAGAGATGGGGTTCACCATATTGGCCAAGCTAGTCTCGAACTCCTAAGCTCAAGTGATCCACCCACCTTGGCCTCCCAAAGTGCTGGGATTACAGGCGTGAGCCACTGCACCTGGCTAGGATCTTCATCTTTAACACATTCTGTAGGCAGCACAGTCCTGATACAGGTGACCTGCAGCCCCTGCCTTGAGCCCTGCCTATGGAGTAGGGACTGGCTTCTGAAGCTGGAGATAGCAGCAGGTGCGCATGTGTGGTTGCGGAGGGCCTGACTGACTACCATCCTCTTCTACGGTGTGACCTACAGTAGACTGCATCTTGACAGTGTGTCTGCATCTGTAACGCCATGAAAGTCGTGAGGGTTCAAAAGCATGGGCAGACGGCTTTGCACCATGCTCAACAGCCACCATTTACTGTCATCAGTATGAATACCCAGAGGACAAATAAATATACCAGTGAATGTTTATTGAGCACTTGCTGTGGGCTAAGTGCTTTCCTTGGATTATCTCAGTAAAATTTTACAGCACCTTAAGTAGCTGCTGTTACAGTGTTTCCATCAGTGAGATTGAGCCACAGAGATGTTGAGTAACTTGTCCAAGGTCACACAGCTAATAAGAAATGTACTTTTCCTATTCAGAGACCTAGGCAGGCTGGGAGTGGGAAAGGGCAGAAACACTAAGGGAGTGGCTCAGTAAGAGTCAACAACCCCAGTGCCCACCAGGTGCCCCAAATGTTTCAGCATCATGGACAACTCTAGGGGGCTTGGGTTTCCACCCCAGAGAGTAGGTCAGAGTCTACCAAGGTGTGGGTTGGAGCTGAGGGTCGGGTGAGGTTTCCCGCTGGCTTCACGCTGCTCCAATGGGGCGCGGGCCGCCCGCAGGGCCGGGCGGGGCTGGGCTGCCATCTGGAGCCGCTGCTGCCGGCGGCCACTGTCAGGGCGCGAGCGGCGGGAGCGAACGCAGGGCTGGAGGGAGTGTAGCCACTGCCGCCGCCGCCGCCGCCACCGCTGCCGTCGCCGAGGCACATGGGTCGGCCCCGCCGCTGCCGCCGCCCCTAGCTCCGGCAGCCCTGGTCTCGCAGCCTCCTGCGGCTCGGGTCGCCCAACCAGCCATGTCTCTCGGCGGAGCCTCAGAGCGCAGCGTCCCGGCCACCAAGATTGAAATTACCGTGTCCTGCCGGTGAGCGGGCCGCGCTGGGGAGGGCTTAGGCACTGGCACAGCCCCATCCCCGGGGCTCAGCCCGGGCAGGGGCTAGACCCCGGGGGAGAGGTGTAATTGGCTGGAAAATCACAGCTGATGACGGGAGTCGCTGGTGGGATCGAGAAGGAGGGGATCTTGGGCAGCCCCACCCCGCAAAAGAGGGCTCAGCCTACGGGTTCGGGAGTGGGTCGCAGGTACCCAGTAGGAGCTCGGCCCCAGGAGGACAAAGTTCCGGGGCGAACCCTCTTTCCTGGGCCCTTGGCGGCAGTGTGGGTGCGTTCGCGTCCAGCCCGTAGAGCCATGGTTCCTGGACAGCGATTTCTGGTGCTGTCCAGAGTGCTGACAGCGCGGACCCCCCGCTTGGGGTAGTCAAGAGGGACAGAGGTTCGCTGCGAGCCCTATGCCTCCCCTCAGTGCCGGGCTCAGAGCCGACTCGAGGCCGCGGGCTCCAGGATGATCCACTCTCTATCTGTCTGTTGCTTTTCTCTAGGAACCTGCTAGACCTTGATACCTTCTCCAAGTCCGACCCCAGTAGGCGGCTCCAGGACCGGGAGGGGGAACTTGGGGTCTGGGCGCGACTCAGGGGCGGGTGGAGTAGGGGCAAGGGGTGCGAGCCGACCTGACGTCCTTCCCTCCCCGCCCCCACCTGCAGTGGTGGTGCTTTACACGCAGAGCCGGGCCAGCCAGGAGTGGCGGGAGGTGAGTCCCAGAGCCCCCTCTCCCGACCCAGGGCCGCGCCCGGGGCTGCACATCCCACGCTGACCCTCCACCCCCCTGCCCAGTTCGGACGGACCGAGGTGATCGATAACACTCTGAACCCAGACTTCGTGCGCAAATTCGTCCTCGACTATTTCTTTGAGGAAAAGCAAAACCTGCGCTTCGATGTGTGAGGCCCCGCCCGGAATTGTCTTGGCCCGCCCCCCGACCTGGATCCACCCGGAATTCTGGCTGGCCCCACCCCCGCCTCGCCTCCCGGCCTGGTTCTTCCCCCAGGCCTCCCTCCCATTCTGAAGGGCCCTCTCTAGTCTGAGCCCTGCCCTTCAGTGATAAGTGGTCCCGTTCTGTCCCCTGCTTTGGCCTCGCCCACCACTCTGCTCCTATCGCAGCTCCACTTCAGGCCCGACCCCTTCCAGACGACCCTGCCCCCGCAGCCCCTGACTTGGCCTCGGCCCAGGTTTGACCCTCTTCCACCCTGACTCCTACCCCAAAGGAGACCAAAGCTGAATTCGGGTCCACAGCTACCCATTCCTCCACCCAAAATGTTCACCAAGACTCGGTGCCCAACCCCTTTCCAGCCTCTCCCCCAGCCAGCCCCACCCCACACCGGTTCCACTCTTTTCCTAGGTACAACGTGGACTCCAAAACCAACATCTCCAAACCGGTGAGCAAGCATTTCCTCGAGGGTTGGCGGAGTGCACAGGAGGTGCTTGGATGTGTTAAAAGACCCTTAGAACTCCTTGTAACCCTCGACCAGACCCCATCTTCTTCAGGCCTCCAACCCACCCTCCTGCTCCCTCTCCTCCTGCCTGAGTGTCCTGCCTGTGCCCCCCACTCACTGTTCCTCTTCCTTCTTGGCTGCCACTGCTGGGACCTGCAGAAGGTGAGGCTGAATGGGGCTGGGCAGAGGCTGGGGACACAGGCTTGGACTGATGAGACAGCGATTGCCACAGACTCCTTCTTTCATACCCCCGTCCTTTAAAGCCCATTCTGGGCAGTGGCTCTTGCACCGCTAACCCACCTGGGAACTGGCCTGGCCCTGTGCAGGAGCATCACCGGGGCTGAGCTGGGACTCAGCACTCACAGAGCTTCTGGTCTCACTGCCTCTTTGTCCTGCATAGGATTTCCTGGGACAAGCGTTCCTGGCCCTGGGAGAGGTGATTGGAGGCCAGGGCAGCCGTGTAGAGCGAACCCTCACGTAAGCTGAATGAAGGGGTGTGGGAGTGGGGTGGAGGCTTCCAAATTCTCCTTCCCAAGGATGCCGCTGACTGATAGTAGTGGAGGCTGGGGTTCCCCCTGGTCAGGACAGCACTGGCTCCCATCACCCTCGTAGGAAAATCCAATCTCCAGGGCTCTGCCCAAGTCAGTCTCAGGCCTGATATGTCCTCTTTTTCTTTCTCTGTCTCTCTCCTCACTCTTTTTCTAAGTGTGATTCAACCTTTAAGGTCCATTTCCAAGCCCCTCTCCACAGGGAACTCCCCTGGACTAAATCAAATCCGCAGGAATTTCCATTACATCCACTCATTAAATATGCATTAGCATGTTTTATATGCCACACCCTGTTCTAGGCACCAGGGCTTCATCCATTCCACAAACACTATGTATACCTACCCTATGTCAGCCACTCCTAAAGAAGACTAGCTTGCAATGGTGAACAAAACAAAGGTTCTTGTCCTCAGGGGGCTGATACTCTAGTTGTGGGGGGGAGGACAGTACAAAAGTACATAAGTAAATTACATAATAGATTAGACAATATTAAATGCTATAGGGAAAGAGATCAGTAGAGCAGAATAAGGGGAACTGGAAATACTGGGTGAGTGGGAAGTGCATGATTCAACAGTGTGTTTGAGCAGGCCTCATGGACAGGTAACTTTGGATCAACAACCTGGGGAGGTGAGGGAGTAAATGGTACAGACATATGGAGGAAGAAAGACATAGGAAACTGCCAGTGCAAAAGCCTGGTGTATTCAAAGAACAGAAAGGAGGCCAGCGTGACTGGAGCCAGGTGACTGGGAGGCAGGAGGAAGTGAGGTTGGAGAGCTAACAGTTAGGGCCTTGCAGTGGACTCCCACCTTTACTCTGAAATGGGAGTCACTGGAGGGCTCTGAGCAGAGGAGTGACATGATATGACTGCTTGCAAAGGATGGTGCTAGTGGTGGGGTTCAGAATAAACCTTGGGTGGCCAAAGGTAGAAGCAGAGAGCCAATGAGAAAACTGACAGTAATCTAGCACGCTACTGAAGGAGGGGAGAAGTGGTCAGATTCAGGATATATTTTAAAGGAGGAGCTAACAGGTTCCTGATAGATTGAATACGAACGTGAGAGGAAAAGAGTTGCGGGCAATACCAGGTCTTTGGCCTGAGCAACAGGAAAGATGGAATTGACACCATGTGAGAATAGTGGGAAAAAAAAAAAAGGAGACCCAGACATGGTGATATGCAACTGTAGTCCCAGCTATTTAGGAGGCTGAGGTGGGAGGATCACTTGAGCCCAGGAATTTGAACTCCTGGGCTCAAGCTTGGGTGACACCCCAAGCTGGGTGACAGAGTGAAACTCTGCCTCTGGACAAAAAACAAACAAAAACATGTGAAGGAGAAGCACGTTGGGGGAGGAATTCAATCAAGAGTTCAGTCTGACGTTTTATGTTTCATAAAACGTTAGACATCCAAGTGGAGGTATCAAATGAGTCTCGGATGCTGGTTTTGTTGTTGTTGTCTTCAAGACAGGCACTTACTCTGCAGCCCAGGCTGGAGTGCAATGGTGCAATAGCTCACTGCAGCTCAAGTTCCTGGGCTCAAGGAATACTTCCACTGAAGCCTCCCAAGTAGCCAAGTAGCTGAGACTACAGGTAGATGCCAGCAGGCCCAGTTAATTTTTAAATTATTTTTTGTAGAGACAGGGAGCCTCACTGTGTTGATCAGGCTGGTCTTGAACTCTTGTCATCAAGTGGTCCTCCTGCCTTGGCCTCCCAAAGTGCTGGTATTACAGGCATGAGCCACTGAGCCCGGCCTTAGATGTTAACTTTAAAGCTATGCTATTAGATAAGATCACCAAAGGAGGGAAGGAATGGCAGGAGAAAAAAAGAGAGAAAGAGACTAGAGAGAGAGAACCAAAGACTGAGGCTCCACAAATTGGACCTAGAAAAGAAGACTGAGACGGAGCAATGAATGAAGTTGGAGGAGAAGCAAGAGAGGGTGACATCATCATGGAAGCAAAGAAAAGGATATCAAGGAGAGAGTTACCAACCACGTCAAATGCTGCTGCAGCTCAGAAAAGATGAGGATTGGGAATTGGCCATTGCATTTAGCAAGATGAAAATCCCTGGTGACTCTTTTTTTTTTTCTTGAACAGAGTTTTACTCTTTGTTGCCCAGGCTGGAGTGGGATGATGCGATCTCAACACTGCAATCTCCACCTCCCAGTTTAAGTGATTCTCCTGTCTCAGCCTTCTGAGTAGCTGGGATTACAGGCACACACCACCATGCCCAGCTAATTTTTGTATTTTTAGTAGAGAGAGGGTTTCACCATGTTGAACAGGCTGGTCTCAAACTCCTGACCTCAGGTGATCCGCCCGCCTCCCGAAGCACTGGGATTACAGGTGTGACCACTGCACCTAGTCCCTGGTGACTCTTGCAACCATAGTTTTGAAGGAGAGGTGGAGGTGAAGAGAATGGAAGAAGAGGATGGGAGTCAAGTAATCTTCCAAGGAGTTTTACAGCAAAGGGGAGAAGAGAAAAGGAGATGTGTGACCGGGCACCATGGCTCACACCTATAATCCTAGCACTTTGGGAAGCCAAGGAGGGTGATTCACTTGAGGTCCAGAGTTCCAGACCAGCCTGGCCAAGATGGTGAAATCCCAATACAAAAAAATTAGCTGGGAGTGGTGGTGTACCCTTGTAATCCCAGCTACTCAGAAGGCTGAGGCAGGACAGTTGCTTGAACCCAGAAGCAGGAGGTTGCAGTGAGCCAAGATCACGCTACTGCACTCTAGCCTGGGCAACAGAGGCAGACTCTGTTTCAAAAAAGAAAAGGAAAGGAGATGTGGCTGAAGCAGGAAGTGAGGTCAAGAATAAGTCTATAATTTTTTAACACAAGACTGGACCAGGTGGCTCACTCCTGACCTCAGGTGATCCATCTGTCTCGGCCTCCTAAAGTGCTGGGATTACAGGTGTGAGCCACTATGCCAGGTCTTTAGGAGGCCGAGGCGGTCAGATCACCTGAGGTCAGGAGTTCGAGACCAGCCTGGCCAACATGGTGAAACCGCATGTCTATTAAAAATACAAAAATTAGCTGGGCATGGTGGAGTGTGCCTGTAATCTCAGCTACTAGGGAGGCTGAGGCAGGAGAATCGCTTGAACCCAGGAGGCAGAGGTTGCAGTGAGCCAAGAAAACACCATTACACTCCAGCCTGGGTGACAGATTGAGACTCCTTCTCAAAAAAAAAAATAATATTTTAACATGAGATAAATTATACCACACTGGCCAGTCGTAGTACAATCCCAGCTACTCTGGAGGCTGAGGTGAGAGGATCACTTGAGCCCAGGAGTACAGGAGCAGCCTGGGCAACATAGTGAGACTCCATCTCTCCAAGGAAAATTATACCACATTTACACATTGATGGGAATGCCCGAGTACAAACTTGATGTAATAGAAGGAGGTGAGTGTTACTGAAGTGATTTTCTTTCTTTTTTTTTGAGACAGAGTCTTACTCTGTCGCCAGACGCTAGGCTGGAGTGCAGTGGCACAATCTCGGCTGACTGCAACCTCCGCCTCCTGGGTTCAAGCAATTCTCCTCCCTCAGCCTCCCAAGGAGCTGGGACTACAGGTGCACGCCACCAAGCCCAGCTAATTTTTGTATTTTTATTAGAGACGGGGTTTCACCATGTTGGCCAGGATGGTCTCGATCTCTTGACCTCGTGATCCGCCCGCCTCAGCCTCCCAAAGTGCTGGGATTACAGGCTTGAGCCACCACGCCCGGCCTGAAGTGATTTTCTTGTACAGACAAGACAGTATGAAATGTAGTACACACTGGAGGGATAAATAGGCACAGGACAGTTCATTTATAGCAACTGTAGGAGTCACACTTGTGTGGGTGAAGATACTGGTGGCAGTGTAGGTGTCATGGTGGGTGGACATTCTCTTCTGGTTGCTTCAGTTTTGTCAGTGAGTGGGAAACAAGGTCACTGGCTGAGAATAAGGATGGGGGAGGAGGTTTTAGGGGTTGAGGAGAGAGGAGTGAAACTGCCATCTACCAAAACTGAAGAGTGAAGGGCCTCAGGATGTACAGTATGACTCTGAGGCAGCATTAAGGATCCTCTTGAGGTCTGCAGGCATGCATTTAAAATGACACAAGTTCACATAATTGTGTGTTTTTGTCTGGCCTTGTTCAGTTTCATAGGTGCAGTATGGGTTAGGCAGAGTTAGGCTTAATTACAGCTGTGGTTCTGCCAAATAAGTATAGTGAAGTGAGAGAAAAGGTTGGGCCCGTGGCTCACGCCTGTAATCCAAGCACTTTGGGAGGCTGAGGCAGGAGGCTCTCTTGAGGCCGTGAGTTCAAGACCAGTCTGGGCAACATAGCCAGATCTTGTCTCTACAAAAAGTAAAAATTAAAAACTTAGCCAGGTGTAGTGGTGTGTCTCAGCTGTAGTCTCAGCTACTTGAGAGGCTGATGCAGGAGCATCTCTTGAGTCCAGGAATTTGAGGCTTCAGTGAGCTATGATTGTGCCACTGCACTCCAGCCTGGGTAACAGGGTGAAACCCCAACTTTTTTTTTTTGAGACAGAGTTTCACTCTTCTTGCCCAGGCTGGAGTGCAATGGCACAATCTCAGCTTACGATAACCTCCACCTCCCAGGTTCAAATGATTTTCCTGCCTCAGCCTCCCGAGTAGCTGGGATTACAGGCATGTGCCACCATGCCCAGCTAATTTTGTATTTTTAGTAGAGACAGGGTTTTTCCATGTTGGTCAGACTAGTCTCAAACTCCTGACCTCAGGTGATCCACCTTCTTCGGCCTCCCAAAGTGCTGGGATTAAAGCATGAGCCATCACACCTCGCCTGAGACCCCAACTCTTGGAAAAAAAAAAGTGAGAGAAGGGGAAAATAGACAGGATGCAAGGGGATGACTATTATAATCACAGACTGGAATTCACACTGGATGGATAAGGTGGTAAGGGAGAACACCAAGGAGGCAAAGAACAATAAGAAGGCAACAGAATCAACAATTTGTTAGTCCCCTATGTTCAGGCAAATTATCTATTTATTTATTTTGAGATGGAGTCTCACTCTGTCAGCCAAGCTGGAGTGCAAGAGCTTGATCTCAGCTCACTACAAACTCCACTTCCTGGGTTCAAGTGATTCTCCAGCCTCAACCTCCCAAGCAGCTGGGATTACAGGCAACCGCCACCATACCCGAATAATTTTTTTGGTACTTTTAGTAGAGACGGGTTTTCACCATATTGGTCAGGCTAGTCTCGAACTCCTGACCTCAGGTGATCCACCCGCCTCAGCCTCCTAAAGTGCTTGGATTACGGATGTGAGCCACCATGGCCAGCTGTAGGCGAATAGTCCCTATCCTCATCACACTCCCTCTTTGTAAAGCACAAAGAGTCAAAAACCAAAGGAGCCAAAGAAATAGTTCAACTTCGCTATAAAAGGATGTTTTAGACCAGGTAAAAATAAAAAGAAAGAAATAGTTCAACTCTCTTCTAAGGATAGGGAAAATCACATAGCAAGTTAGAGCCAGTACTGGGACCCAGGACCCTAGTTTTCTCTCTGCCACATTTTGGATTCCTTTGGGAATCAGGGGTTGCAGGCCCCTATCAACAAGGTCTCTTACTGCTGGGGATGGGGGTCCTTGTATGCGTTGTTCAAGCACATGGAAGTGTTCCTTCTAGGATCAGGAAAGGATAAGGTCCCCTTGTCTTTAAAATCTCCCTCTCCATGGTCTTCAGAAAGCACATCAGCTTTGACCTAACAAACCAGCCCTTTTGTTCCTGGGTCTGGACAGAACTTCTTCTCCCTTATTCGGCATCACTACAACCCACTCTACTTACCTATTGGCTTTGACATTCCACCTCCCCCTGCCCCCAGAGCTCGCTGCGGGCAGTCTAGCAGAGCTGGAGAGCGCCAATTGCCCAATTCGTATCTATCACAGCACCCAGCATATAGTAGGAACCAGAGTTTGCTTGGAAGAATACAACCAGCTCATATCTGTAAAGCTTACAAGTTGCTTTTCCTTCCATGCACTCATTCAGATCTCTTCACAGCCCTGACAAGTCATCATGATTCCCATGTCATAGAGAAAAAAACTAAGGCTGAGGAAGGGGAAATAACTTGCCCAGGGTCACACAGCTTAACAATCATTTAGAATCCACTGACTCTAAATCCCATGTCTTTCTCATACCACTGTTGTGAGATGTTCACCTAAGCTGGTCTGAGCCCTTTTTACAGATCCCACCCGTCAAAGTGAGGCCCTTCCTCACCAGAAGGCATTCAAGACAGAAGGGACTGAATCCCCTGGCCCACCTAACCCCAGACTGGCCACTCAGTCCTTGTTGCCTACCATCCCTCCTCTCACTAAGAGGGCTTTTTCTGCTTCCAGGGGTGTACCAGGCAAGAAGTGTGGGACCATATTGCTGACTGCAGAAGAGCTTAGCAATTGTCGGGTCAGTAAGGGCCACATGCTAGACCCAGGAGCTCCCTTCTCTCTTCATAAGCCCTTTAATGGACTGTCTGAAGGCTATGGGCAATTTGGATGTCACCAGCCCAACTTCATCCATCCCTAGGACATTGCCACCATGCAGCTGTGTGCCAACAAGCTGGACAAGAAGGACTTCTTTGGGAAATCAGACCCCTTCCTTGTGTTCTACAGGAGCAATGAAGATGGCACGTGAGTCACTGCCATCAGGGCTCTTAGACTGGGGTGGGGGCATGTGCTTCACAAGTGGGGGATCTCAGGAATCTCTGAGAGCATCAGGCTCTGTCTCTGGATTCAGTCCTACCCCTGGTCACGAGATAAATTATACCAATCCCTCCCACTCCCCTCCAGGTTCACCATCTGCCACAAGACAGAGGTTGTGAAAAACACACTGAATCCTGTGTGGCAGCCCTTCAGCATCCCTGTGCGGGCTCTGTGCAATGGAGACTATGACAGGTTAGCTTCAGCATAAACTGGGGAGTAAGGAGCCAAGGACATGCCAGTGGGGTTCCTGGGCCCAAGAATAATAGTAAAAGTATCCTAATAGCATTGGATGGTCCTGCTCAGTGAGACAGTTTGGGACATGAGGTTGGGTGGAAGGAGAGGCAGACGAATAGCCACACAGATGGATAGGTGGACTACCCAGGGATGGATCAACTGATGGATGGAATGGTAGGTGGACAAGTAGATGAAAGGGGAGATGAACAAATAATAAGCAGATACATGAATGGATTGTTGGATAGGTAAACTGGTAAATGGCTGGATATGTATGTGGATGGATACATAAATGAATTGGTGGGTGGGCAGAAGGGCAGATAAATGAATGGATAGCAGATGAATGGATAATTGGACTGATGGGTGGATTTGTGGATATACAGATGGGTGATTAACAGATGGATGAGTGGGTGGGTGATAAATGAATAAAAGAGAGTTTGATGGATGACTGGGGAGGCAGGAGGATGAATGGAAAAGCAGGTGGAATACAAAAAGATAGGTAGAGTGACAAGTGGATTGATGGTTGGATAGGTGAATAGATGGCAAATGGATGAATGGATGGATTTGTGGGTGAATTAGTTGATAGATGGGTATAAAGTAGATAGATAGGTAAACCAAATGAGTGAGTAAATGGGTAATATAAAGGTAAATGGTAGGTGGGAGGGTGGAAGAATCGATGGGCACATAGATGAGTGGATGAATGGCTATGTTGATGAGTGGATAACCAGATGGATAGATGTTATATAGTTGGGTAGATGAATAGACAGACAGATGGATGCTTGCATGCCTCAGTGAGTCAATGAATGGCTAAACGTATAGCTAGGTCGCTAAAGAGATGAACTGATAGGAAATTGGACTGACAGATGTATGGGTAAATAGGTAGCTAGATGGATAAATAGATGGTTGGATGGGCTAATATACTGATAGGCAGACATATGGAATGATTTAGGCATGACAGTTAAGAACAAAGTCTTTGGAATCAGGATGCCTCAGTTTAAACCTCAGTTCAGTCATTTACTAGCTATGGGATCTTAGCCAAATTAATTTTTTTTTTTTTTGCATCTCAGTTTCCTTATCCCAAAATAAGAATAATGGTACTTACTTTACATAGGGTGATTGTTAAGTTAAATGAGACAATTTGTGAATGTGCTGAGAACAATGCCTGGAATACAGTAAGGCTCAGAGTAGGAAAAAAACCAACCAAACAAAAAAAAGTACTCGTGGTACTAACAGCAATAGTCTTAATAGGGGTAGATGGTTGGGTACAGGCATGGACTAATGAATGAATAGACAGGATGGGATGGGAGGTAAGTTTAAAGATGAACAAGTTAATGGAAAGACAAATGGGTGGACGGGGAGGTGATATGTGTATGGTTAAGTGTATGAGGTGTCTCGGGTTTATCATCCACACTCACCATGTTTACCTCCTACATTTCAGAACAGTGAAGATTGATGTGTACGACTGGGACCGGGATGGAAGGTAGAACTGCCCCACATGGTCCCTTCTCCTGTACTTGACCCAAGCAGTTCTCAATAATATGTTGTACATTCACTGAGGACCCCAAAGCAGCTTTGGGAGCCAGGAAAGGTGATGATAAACACTAGTGTCTTGGATAAAACTGATCCCCGCATTGTCTCTCTGGACACTGTCTCTTCCCGTTTTTCCCTATGTTTGGCCTCCCTTCTGGCCCCAGCACTAGTGCCCTGCGGCCTAAGTAGGGGCTTAGGATAGGAGGAATAAAAGATTGGTTTCAGGTCTGGTTCCAAACCAGCAGCAGCTGCTGCTTAGCCATGCCTACCTCATTGCAGCCACGATTTCATTGGGGAGTTCACCACCAGCTACCGGGAGCTCAGCAAGGCCCAGAACCAGTTCACAGTATATGAGGTGAGCATTCCAGCCTTTCCCAGGTCACCGAGGCCCTCCATCCTAGTGTGCTCAGTCTGGACCTCTCTTCCTTTGTTTCTTATCATCACTGTTACCTCCACTTAGGTACTTAACCCTCGGAAGAAATGTAAGAAGAAGAAATATGTCAACTCGGGAACTGTGAGTGCTCCCTGAAGCTGTGGCCCTCCCTGGATCCTTCCGTGTCTGTCCCCACTGACATAGCATGACAAATGTTGAGGGCAAGGCAAGACAGTGGGCACAGATTACTTGGAATAATAATGTTGGCCACAAGGAGCACCACTTAACTTTTTCTTTGTTTTTTTCTCAGGAAATTTTTCAGATTTTACTCTTTTACAGAATGAAAGAAAAAACTAAGTTGCATTTCCCAATTTAAAATACTTTTGGAAAGCCAACTGTTTCTGACAGCTTCCCCTTTTTTCCCTGTCGGAAGTTGAACAGGGTGGGGCTGGCTGGGGGAGCGGGTAGAATCATTTGCCTCCAGTCATGTGCCTCCTTCCAAATCCCATGTGCCTCCCTCCCTTCTGCCACCCCAACTGCCTTTTCCAAAGTGACAGGGCTGTCTATTCTGTCCCACAGGTGACGCTGCTCTCCTTCTCTGTGGACTCTGAATTCACTTTTGTTGATTACATCAAGGGAGGGTGAGTCACAGGCCAAACTCTGGGCTGAAAGCCTGGCAATAAATTACTCCCAGTTCTGAGCCCCAGGTTTCTTATTTATGAATGGTCAGGGCCTAGTGACATGGAGATAAATTTTAAAACACTTGGCCAACTACAAAGTGCTCTGTAAAATGCAAAATACTGCTCCTCTTAGTTCCCTTCATGGGGCTGCCTTTCATTCTTAGCTTTCAGCTCCTCCTGGGAAGATGGTTCCCAGACCAGTGGTCTTCATTGGTGGCCCCAGTAACCTAACCTAATTGGATCCCAAACGAAGTTATAGTCAGGCAAGAGGAAAAGGTAGAGAGAGTGGGAAAAACCAAGCAGACTATAGGGGACATTCTGCTTGGTCTGGAGGAGGCAGGCAGATCTGGGAAAGGTACTTTGCTTCTCTGCACTTCAATTTTCTCTTATGTAAAATGGTTGTTGTTTTTTTTTTTTCTTTTTTTTTTTTTGAGATGGAGTTTCTGACATTTTGGGCTGGATGATAAAATAAAATAAAAAATAAAGAAAAAAGCTGGGCGCGGTGGATCACTTGAGGTCAGGAGTTCAAGACCAGCCTGCCAACATGGTGAAACCCCATCTTAAAAAAAAAAATAAAGAAAAAAAGAAAAAAGAGAGAGAGAGATGGAGTTTCATTCTTTTTGCTCAGGCTGCAGTGCAATAACGAGATCTTGGCTCACCACAACCTCTGCCTCCCAGGTTCAAGTGACTCTCCTGCCTCAGCCTCCAGAGTAGTTGGGATTACAGGCATGCTCCACCACGCTCGGCTAATTTTTTGTATTTTTATTAGAGACAGGGTTTCTCCACGTTGGTGAGGCTGGTCTTGCACTCCCAACCTCAGGTGATCCGCCCACCTTGGCCTCCCATAGTGCTGGGATTATCCACCAGGGATGAGCCAACTCACCCAGCCAAATGGGGATATTAATTACTACTTCAGGGCTATAGTAAGGGTTAAATTAAATGACATTTAATACACTTGCCACACAGTAGGCATTTAATTCTGCTACCTGAAGTGTGGTCCATGAGCCAGCAACATCAGCATTACTTGGGAGTTTGTTAGACTCTACCCAGACCATCTGGATCAGAATCTGCATTTTAACGTGAGCCCCAGGTGATCCATATGTACATTATTGTTTGAGAAATAGTAATGTAATAATTATTAGTTCCTCACCTCTCAACTCATCTGCTTCCCCAACAGGACACAGCTGAACTTCACAGTAGCTATTGACTTTACAGCTTCCAATGGTGAGGCATGGATGAGGGAACAAGGGGGAGGTGGGATGGGACATCTAAGGGAGTCATCAGGAAGTGGTCTGGATTCTTACCTGGGGATAAAAGTTTACCTACCCAAGAAGCCCAAACTTAGGCAAAACCCAGCCAGGAAAATAGAGTGCAGAAAAATAGATGGGTAGATGGATCATAGAAGGTTGAAAGGATAGATAGCTCAACAGGTGGATGAGTAGACTCATGGATGAGAGAGAAAGAGGGTATAAGGAAAGATGGACAGGTGAATAGGTGGTGAGTCATGAATGAATGCATAGATCCATGAAGAAATGGAGTGGGTAGATGGGTTGGTGAGTAAGTATAATTGGTTAGACAAGTAGATGCATGGATGGGTATGTGGGTGGACAAATGGACCAGAGTTTAAGTTGGGGAAACAACAAGTAATTAGCTAGGGGAAATGCATGAGTGGATGGATCCATATGAGAATAGACAGGAGAATGAATGGAATGGAGAGGGCTGGCTAGCTGGATGGACAAAATAATATTGCTATATAAGTGGATGGCAAATGAAGAAAAATGGCAAGTAGACAAGTGAGTGGGTGGGTGGGTGGATGGATGGATGGACAGATGGATGGATGAGTGGGTAAGTGGATAGCTGTGTAAGAGAATGGAGAGATTAGTGGATAAAGACGCATAAGTAGACTTAAATATAGATCTATAACCAGGTAGATGGGTGGATGGATGTGTAGGTAGGTAGGTAAATGGATAAATAGGTATAGGGATGGGTGGGTGGACAGATGGATAAATGAACAAATGGATGATTGTGTAAAATAAGGAGGGAGAGCATGGGTAGAGGGCAGATAAATGGATATAGTTGAATGAACGCACACAATGGTGTGAACAGGTGAACAGATGGATGATCCAATGATCACGAGGCTGGGGTTCCTGTGTCCCTACAGGGAATCCTCTGCAACCTACCTCCCTGCACTACATGAGTCCCTACCAGCTCAGCGCCTATGCCATGGCCCTCAAGGCAGTGGGAGAGATCATCCAGGACTATGACAGCGACAAGCTCTTCCCAGCTTATGGCTTTGGAGCCAAGCTGCCCCCAGAGGGACGGATCTCCCACCAGTTCCCCCTGGTATGGTATGGGCCAGAGCCTACCCTCCATTCCCTGGCATCTGGCCCACCCAATTTGATGATTTTGTTCTGTTTACATTTCTTCAAAGGGCATGTAGAGAAACAGGAAGCTATGAGAGGATGGCAGAGCAGGGAGGGGAGCAGGGCTGGGTTTGGAGGGGAGCATGAAAGGGACTGATGAAAAATGGAAGGAGTGAACTGGGATCAGAGCACTCCTGGGTGTACCCTGCATGGGCTCAGCCTAGCAGGGCATATTTTTTGACAGAACAACAATGATGAGGACCCCAACTGTGCGGGCATTGAGGGTGTGCTGGAGAGCTATTTCCAGAGCCTGCGCACAGTGCAGCTCTATGGGCCCACCTACTTTGCTCCTGTCATCAACCAAGTGGCCAGGTAAGGAAACTAGGTGGGGGTGGGGGAAATGCAGGGACCCACATAAGGGACTCTCTCCCCAAGGATAGTCAGGAGCACTCTAAGTAATTTAGAATTACTTAAAGTATATAGGAGAGGCCAGGCACGGTGGTTCACACCTGCAATCCCAATACTTTGGGAGACTGAGGCAGGAGGATCACTTGAGCCTAGGAGTTCAAGACCAACCGGGGCAATATAGTGAGACCCAATCCCTCTCTCTCTTTTTTTTTTTCTTTTTTTCTTTTGAGACAGAGTCTCACTCTTTTGCCAGGCTGGAGTGCAGTGGCATGATTTTAGCTCACTGGAACCTCCGCCTCCCAGGCTCAAGCACTTCTCCTGCCTCATCCTCCCAAATAGCAGGGATTACAGGCACACACCACCACGCTCAGCTCATTTTTGTGTTTTTAGGAAAGATGGGGTTTCACATGTTGGCCAGGCTGGTCTTGAACTCCTAACTTCAGGTGATCCACCCACCTCAGCCTCCCAAAGTGCTGGAATTACAGGCGTAAGCCACCATGCCTGGCTCATTTTTTCAAAATTAAATATTTTAATTAAACAAGGAGGATGTGTATAGGTTATATGCAAATACTACACCATTTTATGTAACGAACTTGAGCATCTGAGGAGTTTGGTATCCACAGGGGTCCTGGAACCAATCCCCTGTGGATACTGAGGGATGACTGTACCTTATTATGGGGAAGAAAGGATATCAGCAAATTACCTTAACCCCACAGCTTAGGGATGACAACCCAGCCCTTGAGTTTGGGTAAGAGACAGAAGAGCCTACAGCACAATGGTGAAGACCTAAGTTTTAGCATCAGACCTGAATGTGATCCTAGCTCCACCACTCACTAACCATGTGACCTTAGGCAACTTAGCCTCTTTAAGCATCCACTTCATCTCTGTAAGGTGGTGTAATAATGGATGACAATAGCAGCTTCCTTACAGAGTTATTGCAAGGTTAAAATTAGATAACAGTGTAAGAAGTATTAGCACAGTGTCTAGCCCATGGTACGTGCTCAATAAATGGTAGGTTAAAAACTTGAAGAGTGACTGTCCAAATTTTCAGAATAAAAATAAAGCAAAGAAAACCCAGATCATATATCAAATAACTTAAAAAACCAAAGAGGGTATTAAAATAAATTTAAAACAAATTTATGAAATGACAGAAATAAAACCAAACATATGTCAGTAAACATAAATAAGAAAAGCTCTGTTTGACCTTAAAAAAGAGAAACATTATTTGATTGAATCAAAAATAAGCAAACTCCAATTTATAGTAAACAGAAGAAACCCATCTAACACAAAGCACCTCAGAAAGCTTAGAGGTAAAAATATGAAACAAAAAGGGAATAGAAGTGGAAGGATTTCAGTGAGATTTATATGTCCATAGACTTTTTTCCCTAGCAAAGATTTATTTTTTTTAACTTTTAAGTTCAGGGGTACATGTGCTACATAGGTAAACTTGACACATGGGGGTTTGTTGTACAGATTATTTCATCACCCAGGTATTAATTCTAGTAGATTTGTTTATTTTCTAATTTGTAGTAATGATAATAGATTCTTTAATAATAACTATAGAAAATTTCAGTAGAAAATCAAGAAATCACACTGAATACTGTCCATGGAATTGTGGCTGTATATACAGTTCTTTTTCCTATGCATCCACAACTATACTCAAATTATTATACATGTAACATTTCACTACTGGTTTTTTTCACTAATACTAGAACATGAGCATATTTTTTGTTATTAAGCAGACTTCTTAAATATTATCTTATGCAACTATACTCATTCAAAATTCATTCATTCATTTAGTAAACATTCAGTAAAGGGGCAATGTGCCATGAGTGTGGGCTCTGGAGCCGGACTGGGTAGTTAACACTCTGGTTCTATCACTCGCCAGCTGTGGCTTTGGTCCAAGACTCTTAACCTCTCTGTGCCTCATTCCTCATTTGTAAAATGAGGAAAATAACAATGTCTACTTCATAGGGTTGTTGTGAGGACTAACTAAATAATATATGTCAAGCACCTAGAACAGTGCCTGCCACATCATAAGTACTCTAGGTGTTTGCTATTACTGTTACTATTATTATCATTATTACTATTCAAAGGGCATCTGCTGTGTGCTCAGTTCTCTGCTGGGGCACTGAAAATTCACAGATGAATCAGATCTAGTCCCTGCCCTTGGGAGCTCCCGCCTTGGTGCAGGAGACAGAAATATAAATAAATCATTGCCTTCTGTAGACCAGAGCTTCCCAGACTTTTCTAGCAAGTAGCCTGTCGGCAAAGGCAAGTGACAGCGTCCCTCTGGGGGAATCTGGGGGCATAGCCGAAAGCAGCCATGCTGAAAATGTCTTTGAAGTTTCTGTATTTCATCTTAAAAATTCATGCAAATTTTATATTCTTCTCACATTGCATCCATGTTTAATTTAGGGGGAAAAAGGTGTCTTAAGTGGAGTTATAGTCATCTAGCTTTATCCAGCAGATCATACAGTGAGAACCCACTTAGAGGAGCAGACAGCCCATCTTGGTGGGTGAGGCAGTATGCTAGAGAGAGGGGGAAGAGTATAGGCTCCAATACCATAAAGGGGACTGCTCAGCTGGGTCTAGAGGATGAAATAGGCTTTATCAGTGAAACAGAAGCAGAGTAGGCCTGGTAGAAGGAATGGTATGTGAAAAACACAGAGGCATGAAGGAGCAAGTTCATGAAACAGTGAAGCGTTTAATAAGACTAGAGTATGCAGTGAATACAGAGGAGTATCCAGAGAATGGGCTGGGGATGGAGAGTGAGAAAAGCAAGAACTCCAGCTTTAGGCTCAGCTGGTCAGCATGGGCTTGGACCCCAGCTTTTAATCCCTTGGGGATGCTACTTAATGTCTCTAAGCTTCAGTTTCCTCATTTTAAAAATAGCAACTTTTTTTTCTGAGATGGAGTCTTTCTCTGTCACCCAGGCTGGAGTACAGTGGTGTGGTCTCAGCTCACTGCAATCTCCACCTCCCAGGTTCAATCAACTCTTCCTGCCTCAGCCCCAAGAGTTGCTGGGATTACAGGCACCTGCCATCATGTCTGGCTAATTTTTGTATTTCTAGTAGAGATGGAGTTTTGCCAGATGTTGGCCAGGCTGCTCTTGAACTCCTAACAGGTGATCCACCCCCTTGGCCTCCCAAAGTGCTGGGATTAGAGGCATAAGCTGCTGTGTCCAGCCCTAAAAATAGAAATTTTTAAAGTGCCTACCTTATAGAATGGCAGCGAGGATTAAATTAGATCATGTATGTCAAGTGTGCAGCTGTGATTTTGATGATCACAAAGGACTCCATTGTTCCCCACTCTACAGCCAAGTGAGGCACTGATTGGCCTCCCCTGGCCATTCACCCATATCCTCAGCTAACTTCCAGATCAAAATAGCCTTGAGAATGCACTGCATCTACAGGGAACCAAAGATATACCTCCTGTGCCCCCAAACCCTTCCATGATGCCCACTGTCCCTTCTCTTCTATAGTTTTTTTTTTTTTTTTTTTTTTTGAGACAGAGTCTTACTCTGTCACCCAGGCTGGAGTGCAGTGGCACGATCTTGGCTCACTGCAACCTCTGCCTCCCAGGTTCAAACAATTCCCTGCCTCAGCATCCCGAGTAGCTGGGATTACAGGTGCCTGCCACCACATCCAGCTAATTTTTGTCTTTTTAGTAGAGATGGTGTTTCACCATCTCGGCCAGCCTGGTCTTGAACTCCTGACCTTGTGATCCACCCACCTTGGCCTCCCAAAGTGCTAGAATTATAGGCATAAGCCACGGCACCCAGTCTTTTTTTTTTCTTTTTAAGAGACAGGGTCTCACTGTGTCGCCCAGGCTGAAGTACAGTGATACCTTTATAGCTCACAACAGCTTTGAACTCCTTGGCTCAAGCTATCCTCCCTCCCACCTCAGCCTTCCAAGTAGCTAAGACCACAGGTGCATGCCACCATGCCAGGCTAATTTTGTTACTTTTGTAGAGACAGGGTCTCCCTATGTTGCCCAGCTGGTCTCAAACTCCTGGGCTCAAGGGATCCTCCGATGTCAGCCTCCCAAAGCACTGAGATTTCAGATGTGAGCCACCAGATCCAGCTTTCTCTGCTATAGTTCTACATGCAATTCCTCGTGGTTTGCACTTGCCATTCTCTCTCTCTGGAATACTTTTCCCTTTACCTTCCCATCCCCATCACCCCACCCTACCCCCCATCACCACCTGGCTAAACCCAACCCATTTTTCAGGTCTTAGGTTAGATGTTACAGCCTCAAAGCCTAACCTCAATGCATTTTAGTAGTTTAAACCTCTCTCCCCTAGAACAATATCCTATTCTCTGCTGCCTGCTCAGCACCCAGCTTGGCGCCTGACACGTATTAGGTATGCAATTGGTATTTGTGAAATGAGTAAATGACAGGAAGAGGTACCAAGCTAGGTCTCTGAGGAGGCTGGGGCCAGAATTCAGGAAGTGAGTAGATGATGTAAAGGAGGGTCATGGCCAGGCATGGTGGCTGGCTGGGTATGGTGGCTCATGCCTATAATCCCAGCACCTTGGGAGGCCAAGGCGGCCTCAGCCTCAGCCTGAATTCTAGCCCCAGCCTCCTCAGAGACCTAGCTTGGTACCTTTTCCTGTCACTCATTTCACAAATACCAATTGCATACCTAATACGTGTCAGGTACCAAGCTGGGTGCTGAGCAGGCAGCAGAGAATAGGATATTGTTCTAGGGGGGAGAGAGGTTTAAACTACTAAAATGCATTGAGGTTAGGCTTTGAGGATGTAACATCTAACCTAAGACCTGAAAAATGAGGTTAGGAGTTCAAGACCAGCATGGACAACATGGTAAAACACCATCCCTACTAAATAAATAAATAAAAATTAGCCAGGCATGGTGGTGAGCACCTGTAATCCCAGCTAATTAGGAGGCTGAGGCAGGAGAATCACTTAAACCTGGGCAACAGAGTGAGACTCTGTCTCAAAAAAAGAGAGAATCATGACCCATTCCCACTCAGCCTAGGCAAACTGAGCCAAAATTATTTTATTTAATTAATTTATTTTTTGAGGAAGAGTCTTCCTCTGTCACCCAGGCTGGAGTACAGTGGTGAAATCTCAGCTCACTGCAGCCTCTGCCTCCCGGATTCAAGGTATTCTCCTGCCTCAGCCTCCCAAATAGCTGGGACTACAGGCACACGCTGCCACACCCAGATAATTTTTGTATTTTTAGTAGAGACGGGGTTTCACCATGTTGGCCAGGATAGTCTTGATCTCCTGACCTCATGATCTGCCCACCTGAGCCTCCCAAAGTGCTGGGATTACAGGCATGAGCCACCATGCCCGGCCTATTTTTATTTTTATTTTAGGTGGGGTCTTACTCTGTCTCCCAGACTGGAGTGCAGTGATGCAATCATGGCTCACTGGGCTCATGCAATCCTCCTGCCTCAGCCTCCCGAATAGCTGAGACTATAGGCATGTGCCACCAAGCCCAGCTAATTTAAATTTTTTTTGTAGAGACCAGGTCTCATTATGTTGCCCAGGCTGTTCTCAAATTCTTGGCCTCAAGTGATCCTCCTGCCTCAGCCTCCCAAAGTGCTAGGATCACAGGCCTGAGCCACCCTACCTGTCCCCAAAGCTATTTTATAATTCTACAACCTCTCCATGCCTTTCCTCACATTTTGAGGTTTCAATACAGCACTGTCCACTAACACTTTCTGCAATGATGGAAATGTTCTGTATCTATGCTGGCCAATATTGTATTCACCAGCCACATATGGATATGGAGCACTTGAAAATAGCTAGGGTGACCAAGGAACTGCATGTTTAACTCTATTTAATTTAAATTTCAATAGCCACATGCAACTAAGGCTACCTTATTGGACAGCATAGCTCCATCCTTTCCAATCCACACAGGCCTGGAGACTGGAAGTCAAGAGACCAGGGTCTGCCACTGCCTTTGTGCCCTCTCTAGGTCTGTTTTTTTAAATATGCAAAATAAAGGGACTGGACTCAATGAATTCTGCAGTCCTTTTCAGATGAAAAACAATCTTGGATTCAAAGACTAGTGAGAGCAGGAAAAGGAGCTCTAGAAGCAGCTATTAGACTGGCTGGGGGAGGACTGCATGGGACCTAGCAGCCCAGGCAATGACATGTGGTCAGCAGAGGAAAGAAGGGAGAGAGAGAAAATGGGAGAGACAGGGAAGCAAGGAAGCCTTCAGCCTTTGCTCTTGCTCATGTATAAACATCAAAATCTTGCCAGGGGTTGATAAATCTCTGTGGGGTCTAAGCTCTATGTCCCTCAGCCACATGGCCCAGTCTGCTTCCCTCAATTTCTGTCCTCCAGACAGGGAAGTTGTCCTTTAGTCCCACTACAGTGCCTTTGTCCTTGCTGTTCCCTCTTCCTAGAAAGATCCCTCTCCTCTTTCACTTAGTCTCTCTCTCCTCAAACATCACTTCCTTAAAGAAGCCTTCACTGACTTTCTGGGTCACATCAGGATCCCCTCTTTTTATTTACTTTTTTTTTTTTTTTTTTTGAGATGGAGTCTTGCTCTGTCCCCCAGGCTGGAGTGTAGTGGTGTGATCTGGGCTTACTGCAACCTCCACCTGCTGGATTCAAGCAATTCTCCTTCCTCAGCCTCCTGAGTAGTTGGGATTACAGGCATCCACTACTGTGCCCAACTAATTTTTGTATTTTTCATAGAAACAGGATCTCACCATGTTGGCTAGGCTGGTCTTGAACCCCTGGCCTCAAGTGATCCATCTGCCTTGGACTCCCAAAGTGCTGAGATTACAGGTGTGAGCCACTGGACCCGGCCAGGATTCCCCCCTTGTACCCAGTCATAGCAGTGTCCCTTCCATCACAGCACTCATCACAGTGGTAATTTTATACCTTTTTGTGTGAATCTGGGATTAATGTCTGCCTCACTCCAGAGGGCTGGGAGGGATTTATTTTTTTCTCCTCATGTATTTCCAGTGCCTACCACAGTAAGTGCTCAATAAATATTACTGAAGGCAGACCAGGCGTGGTGGCTCACGCCTGTAATCCCAGCACTTTGGGAGGCTGAGGCAGACAAATCACTTGAGGTCAGGAGTTTGAGACCAGCCTGGCCAACATGGTAAAACCCCATCTCTACTAAAAATACAAAAATTAGCCAGGCGTGGTGGCGCATGCCTGTAGTCCCAGCTACTCTGGAGGCTGAGGCAGGAGGATCACCTGAGCCTGGGGTAGGCGGAGGTTGCAGTGAGCTGAGATCACACCACTGCACTCCAATCTGGACAACAGGGTGAGACTCTGTCTCAAAAATACACACACACGCACACACACGTGCACACATACACACACACATATTGAGAGAGAGAGAGAGAGAGAGAGAGAGGCAGAGAGACAGGGGCAGGCTGCCAGGTCTGGGGAAGGAGCATGGGTTTCAGAACCTCCCACTGTCCACCACTGGCTGTGGAAGCTTTGGAGGTAAGGTGTTCCTTTGGCCTGTCTGGCTTTCAGCTGGATTCTGATTTGGCCTCTCATCCAGGGCTGCAGCCAAGATCTCTGATGGTTCCCAGTACTATGTTCTGCTCATCATCACTGATGGGGTCATCTCTGACATGACGCAGACCAAGGAGGCCATCGTCAGCGTGAGTCTGAGGAGGAGGGCTTGGCAGGGAGGAGTAATGTTAATACTGTGAAGAGGCTAAGATTTTATCCTACTTGCAAGATAACAAGTTAGCCTGCCAGTTTCATGGATGCTGGCAGAAGACACAAGACTCTTGGATTAGAGACAGAGGACTTTGATTTCCAGCAAAAGCAGTAGCTGGAGTATTAGCATTTGCTTGAATTCTCTAAGTCCTGGTTCCCACTGGATGATGTGGAGAGGGACAGATGACCCTTGCAGCCACTGTGGGTTGCATTACAGAAGAGGAACTCTGAGCTTAGGGAATTTGAGTCTTTTATAATGGACAGTAAGCATGCTTGCCTTTTGTTCCAAAGGTCTCCAGTGAGACCTTTTTTTAAAACTATGTTGGACAGTAAGCAAATATGCCCTCTGCTCTAGAGGAACATACTGAATCTTTCTTTTTTTGTTTTGTTTGTTTGTTTTTCTTGAGACAAAGTCTCGCTCTGTCACCCAGGTTGGAGTACAATGGTGCGATCTTGGCTCACTGCAACCTCCACCTCCCGGGTTCAAGTGATTCTCCTGCCTCAGCCTCCTGAGTAGCTGAGATAACAGGCACCCACCATCATGCCCGGCTAATTTTTTGTATTTTTAGTAGAGACAGGGTTTTACTATGTTGGTCAGACTGGTCTTGAACTCCTGACCTTGTGATCCACCCGCCTCGGCCTCCTAAAGTGCTAGGATTACAGGCGTGAGCCATTGCGCCCGGCAATACTGAATCTTTCAAGGCTGACTGATATAGAAACATCCTTGAAAAAGTAGTCTGGGTCAGAGAGAATCAATGCCTCTGCTTGCAAGATGTGCAGAACCATGACACACATACATGGAGAACTTTCCCCTAACAGTTACCTCCCTGGTGATGGCTGCTTGCTCCAACGGTTCACCCTCTTTCCCCCACAGGCCTCCTCACTGCCCATGTCTATCATTATCGTCGGTGTAGGACCAGCCATGTTTGAGGGTGAGTACGATGGGGTGTCCCTGAATGGGACTAAGAACTGAGGAGAAAAGTGGGAAGGGGTCGGGTACTTGGGCCTGCCTCACAGAAGAGACAAGGTAGATACCCCTGTGGGGCCTTGACCAAGTCACAGACCTTCTCTGAACCCATTTCCTTATCAGAACCAAGGCTGATGATACTAATACTTCCCCCTGGGGTTCCTGGGAGGATGGACTTTGTAGAAGACATAGGACTTGAACACTAGCATTAAGCATTCTCCTGATGACTCCAAAGGGGAGCTCAAAGGGAGGGGCCAACATGGGGTATGCCGGAGAGGCCATTCAGCTGAGGGGTGTCTTTTCTGCAGCAATGGAAGAGTTGGATGGTGATGATGTGCGCGTGTCCTCTAGGGGACGCTACGCAGAGCGGGACATCGTTCAGGTAGACCTGACCTGGGAGAGATGGTGGAGCTGAGAGGCACAGTGAGAAGAAGAGGCTAAATTGGGAGCCACTCACACTTGTTACTTTCTCAGTCTCCTACTTTCTTCCCTGTCACTCTTTCATCCTTTCTCATTCCTTGAATACATCCTTTTTGACAAATAGGAAGGTTGCTGCAGCCTTGGTACATCCATGGTGTAGGTCGGGAGATCCCCAAGGCTCCTGCCCTCTAGTGGAGGCAACCAATAATAAATAATCACACAAATAAATATCTCATTTGATTGTGGTAAGTACTCCAGAAGAATAGCAAATGCCACTGTGAGAGCCTGTAACAGGGACCTAACATAGGTACAATAGTCAGGGAAGGGTTATTTAGCTTGCTGAGACCTAAGGGAGGGGATAAGCATTACAGGGACAGGAGCAGCATGTGACAAGGCTCTGAGGCTCAGAAGAACTGGCCCAATCAATGAAAAAGCAGAAGCGAGGGTAGCAGGTAAGGGTGAGAAGGGAGGCTAAATTTGGGAGTTTGTTATAAAAGAATTGAAAAGCTCTTAAAGGATTTTACATAGGATAGTGAGATGGTCAGACTTGCATTTTTAAAGGATCTCTCTAGCTGCTGCATGGAGGGTGGACTTCAGCAGGGCAAGAGAGAAGGCAGGTAGACACGTTAGTGAGGAAGCCTTTGAAGTAGTAGAGGGGAGGTGATAGAGATCTGGCTGGAAGCAGTGGGGAGGGAGAGAAAGTGGCAGATTCAAAAGATATTTAAGAAGAAAATGTTACAAGACCTGATGATTAGATGATGATGGGGAATGAGGAAGGCTTCAAGGATGACTCAGTATTCCAGCTTAAGCAACTGGGTGAATGACATCCCATTTGCTGGGAAGGGGAAAACTAGAGGAGGAGATTTGGCAGAAAGAGCTAGAATTCAGTTATGAACATACATACATTGGGTTCAAAGTATCTGTGACAAGTGAATGGAGAGGTAATACTAAATATTTAGAGGTGATACTAAAAATTTAGAGGGCAGCTAAATATGTGGCTCTGGACTTTAAAAAGAGGTGAGGGATGAGCCCAGGCATGGCGGCTCATGCCTATAATCCCAACACTTTGGGAGACCAAGACAGGAGGACCTCTTTGAGACCAGGAGTTTTGAGACCAGCTTGGGCAACAGAGCAAGACCTTATCTCTGCTACATTAAAAAAATAAAGGCTGGGTGCGGTGGCTCACACTTGTAATCCCAGCACTTTGGGAGACTGAGGTGGGTGGATCACCTGAGGTCGGGAGTTTGAGACCAGCCTGACCAACATGGAGAAACCCCATCTCTACTACTAAAAATACAAAATTAGCTGGGTGTGGTGGCTCATGCCTATAATCCCAGCAACTCGGGAGCCCGAGACAGGAAAATTGCTTGAGCCTGAGAGGCGGAGGTTGCGGTGAGCCAAAATGGTGACATTGTACTCCAGCCTGGGCAACAAGAGTGAAACTCCATCTCAAAAGGAAAAATAAAAAATAAAAATGAAACATAATTTTTTGAAAAGAGGTCATGATAGATATATAAATTCAGCAGTCATCAGGAAACAGATTTCTTTTTATTCTCCACTTTCTTTTTTTTATTTTATTTTATTTTTATTTTTATTTTATTTTATTTTATTTTTTAATTTTTTATTGGATTTTAGGTTTTGGGGTACATGAGCAGAGCATGCAAGACAGTTGCGTAGGTACACACATAGCAGTGTGCTTTGCTTTTCTTCTCCCCTTCACCCACATTTGGCATTTCTCCCCAGGCTATCCCTTCCCACCTCCCCCTCCCACTGGCCCTCCCCTTTTCCCCCCAATGAGAACACAGGGACACAGAAAGGGGAGTATTCTCCACTTTCTTATCAGTTCCTCTCCCCCAATACCTCGTTTCTTCTCCTCCTCTCCCCAAGTCCCTCTCCTAGGCCTCTCTCTTTTCCCAGCCCCTTCTCACAGACTCCTCTTCCTTCCTGCCCCAACTCCATCTCTCTGGGCTCCTCCGATTCTCAGGATCCCTTCTCCCTGGTCCCTGCCCCTTGCCTCCCCTGCTCCCTCCTTTCCAGGTCTCCCTCCCTACCTCCTGGCCTGCTCTACTTCCCTCCAGGGAACAATTTTTAAAGTCATGGATGTGTATGAAATCATCCAGGAAGAGAGCTGAGAGAGAGAAGGGACCAGATTTAGAGAGCAAGTAGACCAGAGGAATGGTGGTGGGAGGGGGGAGCTTCAAGAAAGGTAAGCAAGAAGCCAGAAGAGTGTGGCATTAAGAATGGGATGTGTCCAGAAGAATTATGGTCAAATATAACGGAAAACTAAACAGAAGTCAAACAAGATGAGGACTAAAAATTACTGTCCACTGGACTGATTTAGCAACACAGGGCCACTGATGACATCAGCAAGAGCAGCTTCAATGGACTGTGTGAAGCCAAACTGGAATGGGTTGAGGGTGAATAGAAGGTGGAAAAAAAAAGTGGGTGGAGAGACAGCAAATGTAGAAAACTGTTCAAGATGTGGGGAGGGAGATACTGTGAGAGTTGGAAAGAGATATTGGGGGTCAAAAAAGAAGCCTCCCTGCTGCACCCCCATGCCCTCTCTCCTGGTCATGGCTTATATCTTCTTGTCTGTGCCTGACCCAGTTCGTCCCATTCCGAGACTATGTGGACCGGTCGGGGAACCAGGTGTTGAGCATGGCCCGACTGGCCAAGGATGTGCTGGCCGAGATCCCGGAGCAGTTGCTGTCCTATATGCGTACCAGAGACATCCAGCCTCGGCCCCCACCCCCTGTCAACCCCAGCCCGACTCCAGCTCCAGAGCAGCCCTGAGGATTCCACATATCCAATGCCTCACAGTCTGCTCACCTGCTCACCCACTGCTTCTGCTTTAAGTCAGAGGCACCTGGAACCCTGGACCTCACTGGGAGGGCCAACTTAAAGGATTAGTGCTGGCTGACAAGCACTCCGCCTCCTTGCCTGCAGAAGGGCCTGGCACTATCACCACCTCCCTGCCTTCATGCCAATAATAAAGCTGATCTTTACTCCACCTCTGTTCCATGCATCTTGGGGAAGGAAGGAAGACTATGGGACCCAAGGCCTGGGGCTGCATCAAGAGGAAGGGAACCAGGATGCCTTCAGCTAGGTTCATCCCTATCCTAACATGTTCATCCAACACTTCTTCATACATTCTTCAAAGAGTTTAATAAGCGAAACTTTGTATGTTTTTCCTCAGGAGAGAGGCTCACAGTTGTTTGTTTTTTCATAAAATCCAGATCCAGCACATGGCCCATACTTTTCACCAGATTCCCAAACAAATTCCTGACAACTAAAGGAGATGACTTTGTATAACTCTATTTTGATCCATTTATCCTGAATTATTATTATTATTATTTTTGAGACAGAGTTTCGCTCTTGTTGCCCAGGCTGGAGTGCAATGACGTGATCTCGCCTCACCGCAATCTCCACCTCCCAGGTTCAAGTGATTTTCCTGACTCAGCCTCTGGATTAGCTGGGATTACAGGCGCCCACCACCACACTTGTCTAATTTTGTATTTTTAGTAGAGACAGGGTTTCTCCATTTGGTCAGGTTGGTCTCAAACTCCCAACCTCAGGTGATCTGCCTGCCTCGGCCTCCCAAAATGCTGGGATTACAGATGTGAGCCACCATGCCCCGGCCTTCTGAATTATTTTAATAAGGATAACAGCTAACATTTTCTTTGAACATTCACTACATGTTAAACCGTGTGCTAGGTGATTTACAAGCATCATCTCATTTAATTCTCACAACTGTGTGAGAACAAGTACCATATATTATTCCCACTTTACACATGAGGAAACTGAGGCTCTAAGAGGATGAGGCATTTGTTTAAAAGAATTCATCAGTTTGACTTCAGATCCCAAGATCTTAATCAGCAAACATCTTCCTGGTATGTCGATTTTATTGGGATGGTTTTTAGAAAACATACATTTCAGTGGGTCAAATGCAAAGCTTGCATTAAGATAGAAGCTTTCAGATGCTTTGGGCTTTGTCCCAGAAGCCTGGAAGACCCTTTCATGCTCCTCTTTAATGACAAAACTGGAGAAGCATTGTTTAAGGGTGTCTCCCCTGCCATCCAAGTTCTCTGAAACCCTCAATAATTGGCAATAGAATTTTCAAGCTCCATTTTACAAATAAGAAACTTGAAGAACGGATCTTGTCCACGTTCGCATTGCTAGGAGGTGACCCACTCACATTAAATCAGCTGTTTTGGCACCATCTTCCAATCAGTAACCCGGAGCACATTCCTGCCAACCCACAGAGATCTCGCCGCTTTACCAGACACAAGCCCTTTCACACCCACCGGCCCCAAACCCAGCCCCTTCCCTCAGACCCATACCTTTTCTCTAGCATCTCTCCTTTACTTTTCCCGAGTTTCTTCTTTCCTTGCATCACATCCCGTTATCCCTAATCGGTCCCGCCCTGTCCTCCTAGCTCCGCCCCTGCCTTCCCAAGCCCCGCCCGCTCCCTTCAGCGTCGCGTCGTTTTTTCCAGCTGTGTGCTTTATTCCTAGTGCAGCTACACTTTCTAGGCCATCCAAAGCTCCGCCCTTTATCTCCCGAGTACTCCTCTTCTGTTTAGCCCCACTTTTTACCCCGCTATTCTAGCAGGGTTCCCCTGTACAGTGGCTCCGCCCCCACCCACAAGCCCCGCCCCACAGTCCGACCTAGTCTTCAGCCCCGCCCAGGCCCTAATCCATAACTCCTGGTCCCCTTAGGCTCCAGCCTGACTCCCTCTTGCTCCCGGCCCTGCCCCCAGCCCCGCCCGTTACTCTGGCCCCGCCTCACCGCCTTCCTCCGAGACCAAGGCCGGGTCCCTCCCGCAGCCACGGCGCCAGCAGGAGGCAGGGCGCGTAGAGGGAGGAGGCAGGGAGCGGAGAGGGAGGAGGCAGAGGGGGAGGGGAGAAGGGCGGGCTCCTCACGCCCAACCCGGCGCTCACCGTCCGTGGCTGCAGATTCGCCATAAACCGCCCGACGACCCGAGATCCTGAGTACGGCGACTTCAGTCTCCAGAAACTCCACTCTAAGATGAGAGAGCTAGAGGACCCCTTTGGGGTGTCTAGGGTCCTTTCTGAATTCCAGAGAACTGTCTCTCGAGCCTCAGCGGACGGGCAGGGATACGTGGCGAAAGTGCAGCTCAACAGCGCTGCGAAGCCACGTTTACCCTGCGCAGACGCCGTCGCCGCCGCTGCTGCCGCCGCCGCTGCCACAGCCTTTGCCGCCACGGTCTCCGCCGCCGCTGTCCTCGCGCTGCCTCTGGGAGCCTCCATTGTTCCAGCGGCGCCCGGTCCCGAGGCTGGGCATCCAAGGGGCCGGCGAAACGGGCGGCGGCCGACGGAGTTGAGACCCCGGGGCGCCGGCGGGACCGGGAGCAGCAGGGGTCAGCGCAGGAATTCCCGGGAGCCGGGACCACAGCGTGGGGCGGCAGGGGGCCGGGGTAGCGAGATCTACAGTCTCTGGAGTTGGGGCTCCCCCTTCCCAGCCCGACTTTCCCCGCCGGCCTCCCCAAGTGGGGTCGGAGCCCCGGCGGGCGCCCCCAGCGATGAGCCCGGACTCGAGGTGGCCGGTGAGTGCGGGCCTGGGACCAGGGCGGGAGTGGCCGGCAGGGAAGAGATAGGCTACGTTCGTGGGGCGCGCAGAGCCGCGTGGCCCGGGAGCCTCTCTGGCAACTCCAGCTGGGAGAACTGACAGTGCATTGGTTCCCAGCAGGCATCCCGGGACAACAGTGTTCTCTTTCGGGGCTGCCCGGGCCAGTGGCAGGAGGGAAGCCTTGTTTCACTTGTTACATTTCGACAAAGGGGAAACACCACCACATCCGGAGAGTGGGTTGCGGGCAGTGCCGGGGCCCAGCCCTATCTCTTCGGCCCCCGCCCCCTGCTTCCTCCAGCCCCCTGAGCTCCAGCGGCAGATGCAGCCGCCATTCCCCTTGGGCCCTCTCCGCGGGCTTTCTGATCTAAGTTCTTGTCTCCCTCACCTGTGCTCCTGTTGCTGGGTCCCAAGGGGACATTGCTGGGTTCGCTATACTACTTTGGGAGCCGTTCACCCGGGACCCAGCTTGGAAAGAGGAGAGCTTGTTTGTGCTTCGGTTGGCTTATGTTTATAAAGACACAGCCGCAGGTAGGAAGCAGAAGAGAGTCGCAGTTGGACGTGTAGCGTTACTGATGTGAAAGTCAGGAGCCGTTGACAGAGGAGCTGAAGCAGCCCACCTGCCTGGTTAAGGCACAGGTGGAGAGACCAACAGGGTTTATTTTGTCAGAGACCTCAGGGTAGCTCTGCCCGGCTGGGATGGTGCCAAGCCCCTAGCTGAATTGTTGAACTCAACTAGGCCGAGAGAAATTGGGGCAGTCTCTGACCAAGCTGGGCTTCCTGAGGCCTGGTGCCATCTGCTGTCTACACTCACCCAAGAATGTTGAGGAGGGGGAAGGGAGGGCCCCTGCAGACCAGCATGGAGCTGAGCATGCCTAGACTGTCGTGTTCGTGTTTGTACCCTTAGGGCCTGGCACTTGGTAGTCACTCAGTTGTTGCGTGAATGGGTGAAAGAAGTGCTCATATGTAATGCAGGCTGCTGTCACTGACTAAATGACCTCAGTTTTCACTTGGCTTCTCAGTACATCTCCTACTCAGTCCCAGAGCCAGGCTCCCCATAAAGACCTCAAAACTAAATGAATTCTTTCTGTGATCCAGTGATTTCTGCAGGAGTCCACGGCTGAATCATTGGCCACCATTCAGCCTTCTACATGGCCTTCATCCCATCTGAGCTCTCAATCTGGTGATCCCCCTTATTCAGCTGTTCATTCAACAAGTCATTCATTTGCCAAAAACTGAGTGTCCAGTGCATGCTAGGTACTGGGGATACAGAGGTGGATAGGCTCTGGTGTCTTTACTACACAGCTCCCAGTCTAGAGGGGAGACAACTTTCAGTATGTCAGGTGCTGTGGTAGAGGTGAGAATGGAATGCTGTGGAAACAGCTCCCCATGGGAGAATCAAAGAAGTTGTGTCAGAAGTAACATTTGAGTTGATTTTTTTGAAGACTGAATAGGAGCCCACCAATCAGAAAGGGAAGAGAGGCTATAACATTCAGGGAATGGTAGGTTCCCCTGTATAGACAAAAACAGCTGTAACTTGTAAAAAGAATCTGGAAAGGAGAACTAGGGCCAGACAGTGAGAAGAGCTCTTTGAATGGCATCATAGAGAATTTGGAAGATTATCTTGAAGGAACTGGGGAGCATCAGGAGGCTTTTAGTGAGAAGACTGGCATCACTGCTGCCTGGTAGAAAGATCACTCTCCAATATGATGTGAGGTTGGGCTAGAGGGTTGAGACATAGGGCAGGATGACCAGGCAAGAGGTGATGAGGGTCCAGATCTGGGCCATGGTAGAGGAGATGGCATTTGGAGACACTGTAGAGGTAGGCTGGCTAGGACCTGGTGACACCAAGTGAGGGGAAGGACTAGAAAGACTGGGGTCTCTGGTGCAAGTGGCCAGTAACTCATCCCCAGCCTTATGCTAACTGATCTGTATATTCTAGATGTGACAGCATGGGGGTAGACTTTGATGTGAAGACTTTCTGCCACAACTTGCGGGCGACTAAGCCACCATATGAGTGCCCGGTGGAGACCTGTCGAAAGGTCTACAAGAGTTACAGTGGTATTGAGTACCACCTGTACCACTATGACCACGACAATCCACCACCCCCACAACAGACTCCACTCCGCAAGCACAAGAAGAAAGGGCGCCAGTCACGCCCAGCCAACAAGCAGTCACCCAGCCCCTCAGAGGTCTCACAGTCACCAGGCCGTGAGGTGATGAGCTATGCACAGGCCCAGCGCATGGTGGAGGTGGACCTGCATGGCCGTGTCCACCGCATCAGCATCTTTGACAACCTGGATGTGGTGTCAGAGGATGAGGAGGCCCCTGAGGAGGCCCCCGAGAATGGCAGTAACAAGGAGAACACTGAGACGCCAGCTGCTACTCCCAAGTCAGGCAAACATAAGAACAAGGAGAAGCGCA